TGTCCTTTTTGTAGTGAGGGGCCCAAAACTGAACACAGGAATCGAGGGGCGGCCTCACCAGTGCCGAGTACAGGGGTCAGATCCCTTCCCTGTCCCTGCTGGCCACGCCAGGGCTGACATCAGCCAGGATGCCGTTGCCCTCCTTGGCCCCCTGGGTGCACTCTGGCTCATTCTCACCCCCCCAGTCCCTCTCTGACCGGCAGCTCTCCAGCCACTCCTCCCCAGGCCTGTAGCGCTGCTGGGGGTTGTTGTGGCCCAAGGGCACAACCTGGCATTTAATTTAATTAAATTAATCCTCCAGTTAAGAGAAGCATCTGGCCACAGTGTTTCACACCCTCTCGCAGTGCTCCTCACCCCTTGCTGCCCCAGAGTCCCCCCAGCAGCCCAGCTGGACCCCCCCGGGGTGGCAGATGTGGGACAGAGAGCTTTCTCCAGTGACCACCAGCCTTCCCTGCAGCCCCCGATGGGCCAATCCACATCTCACCCCAAAGATGGAGTCGAGCTTCATGAGGACACGCTCCTGCCTCCCCAGTGAGTCCAGGGGCCTCAGCAGCTTGCTCTCGATGAGGAAACCCTTGGGACACAAGCAGAGAAGAGGGTGCAGAGAAATAATGCCTCCCTCCCCACCCAGAAGCCAGCCCATGCCATCCTGGGATGGTAGGTTGAGCGGGGAGGGTGGGCAGAGGCTGGCAGGGCCGGGAGGCTCTGGAACAGCCACCCAGCAGCCAGGGAAGATACCAGCACGGTGATGCCAAAAGGATCTCACAATCTGAAGCTCTTGCTGACCATCCCCAGAGATGGGGAACAGCCTGGAGCATCAGATGCAGCAGGTTTGCCTGTGCTTATTGTGGCCTGGGGAGCTGAGGATTCAGGCAACGAGGCTGCCAATACTTTTTAGTAGCATTGTATACGTGCCACGCATAGTGGAAAGACCTGGAGATCCTCTCCCCCTGGCCCCTGGGGCAGCTCTCTGACAACAGGCTGCTTGGCATAGCAAGGCAGTGCCAGGCTGAAGCCTTCACCCCACGATGTGGAGCTCGGAAGAGATCCACCACAAGCTGGAGCAACCAGGGGACATGGTCACACACCGACTCGTCGCTCACAAGCTCCAGGATCCTCTTAGCAGTCTTCTTGGAGATATTTCGCAGAGGCGTGACTCTATCCTCAACCTTTGCTGTGTTTTCTTTTCTTCCTTCTCCACTGCCTTGTTCTTCCTTCTTCTTTTCTCTCCCTTCCTCCTCCTGTTCCCCAGAGCTGCTCTCTGAAACATGGAGAAAGAAAGGTGAGCAAAAGCCTTTACGCTTTGTGCTCCCCAGTCACATCACTGCAGGAGTCATCAGGCAAATCACAGTTTTCTCTGTGACCTGGAAAGCACCCCAAAAATCTTGGGACACGAGCTGGCTTATGCTAGCTTGCCTGGAACTGGGAGCACTGGGCAAAGTACAGTGTAAAAATCCCCAAGCTGGCTTGGCATGAGCTAACTCCGGGCTGGGGACAACCCCTGCCTGGGCTCACGATGTCACCTCTGTGAGATCCCACCTTGCAATGGCAAGTAGGCACTGTCACCAAGGAAGATGAGGGTCTCCCAGTGCCACAGGGGTGACAAGAACACCGTGCATCCCACCTGTCAGGACCGCCGCAGCCAGCTTGGTCGCCATCCTCTTGGCATCATAACACCCGAGGGGGCCGACGTTGTTCAGGAACCAGTAACGAGGCTCTTCCCAGGGCAGCCCCAGCTGCTGGGTGTGAATGAGGTGATCTGCATCGAGGGCTTTCCTCATCAGGCCTTTGGCTTCCTCCTCGTTCATAAGCCAGACCTCTGTGAACTTCTCAGCGTCAGTGACAGCAAAGTGCCTGCGCAGAAGGGAGACGGCCCATGGGAGGAGGCTCCGTGCCCCAAAACAAGGAGACAGCCCCCCCTGCACCTCACTTAGGTGCTCCGAGGCCTCGGCGTGGGTGGATGCCCACGCACACCCCACCTCATCCTCCTCTGCACCTCCTTGCACTGCCACGTGATGCGCTCGCAGTCGTCTGCCAGGCTCTGGTTCTCCTCTCTGAACTGCTTCTCTTGGTTGGCCAGTTTTGTTTGCAGGTTATTGAGCAAGCTGTGGAGCCTGGGGAGGGACAGCAGAGCTGGGCATCCCCGGAGAGGCACCTTGGAGCTTGTGTGAAGGCTCTGGGACTTGGGGCTGCTTATCTACTCATGACTACTCAGTGCCCGACTGACCCTGCCTGATGCAGCTAGCACAGGGTGGCCACAGCCAGCCTACCCAAAGTGCTCTGGGGATGGTCCTGCCCTGGGCTAACACTTGCCCCTGCCCGGGCTAGGACAGAGCTCATTGGCTTGTGCTAGGTGATGGGCTCCACAAAAAAACAGCATCTAGGAGGTGCTGGGAGGTAGGGCAGAGCCCATCTTCTGGGGTGGTTATTTTACCGGTTGAGCTTCCTCTTCTGCTGATATCTGATGATGGTGTTCTCCTCGTCCCGCTTCTTAAGCACCTGAAGGTTGTACTCCAGCTTCTCCTGGGTCAGCTGATAGACGGCTTTCATCTGCTGGAGCTGCCTCTCCAGGTTCTGGCAGTTCAAAAAACACAAAATCAAGCTGTGCCATGAGCAAAGGCCACACTGAAGCCTGGATCCTACTGATCCTGCATCTCCAAACTCCATCTTCCCATCCACATTTTCCCAGCTAAGCCCTGGCCACGTGGCATCACTCACGGGTGAGTGATGGAGATGCTGGTGGTCCGTAAGTTCACGCTACAGGGCCAGGTCTGGGGAAGGGAGAAGGGACTGAATTTGTACACAACTTCCACTCAGTGGGGCACTAATTCAGGCCTCTCTCCTCCACCGAGCTGCTGATTCTCATGTCAGTTTTAGGAACTGCATGTGTCTGAGTTAACCAAGAGGCTCAGAAATTATTTGGCAAGCTGAAGGAAGGCACACAGGACTGACTGCACAGACTCTCTTAAGGAAACCAGAACAAAACAAGTAACTGAAGCATTTGTAAGTAACTGAAGCATTTGTTATGGCAGCATCGCTGAGGGGACAGGAGAGAGGCAGCCAGTTCTCCCCTTTGTCTCACAGTTCTCCCCTTTGTCTCACAGCTGCAATGGGGGAGAGACCTGCAGTGGAGATATTTCTTTCAGCTTCCCAGCACCCCGTTTGCTTGACAGCTGATGGGAAGGTGGAGTTGCTTCCCAGTCTCCTGGGGTTGCTGCTCTGGACTGGGAGGTATCACACCTACCCATGGTCAATGATTGCTGCTTGCTGTCAGCCCTGCAGCTCGTTTGGAAGCGAGCTCAGGGGGACACAGCAGCCTGGAAACTCCAGGAGCAGGCAGTGTGACTACCATGGTTTAATTCATTAGTGTAAGCATTTTCCACGTGCAAAAGGAGGCAGAAATCTGATACTGAAAAAATATTTTCACCCCGCTTTGCTGGGGAGGGCTATAAAAACTTCTTCCATGATAGGAAGTGATTGGAATTAAGCTGCATGGCTCCAAATTAAAGCATCAGCTACAGGCTCGCTTGTGAGACACCCAGCGGGGTCTCCACTGGGGGGGTCAAGCTTGTTCTCAGCACAGGGGGTCTCTGGGGTAAGGTAAAGGGTCCTGAGCTGCAGCCTAGAATCAGGGAAGACCCTGGTACGAGAGTCAGCTGGCTCAGAGCTCTCCTGGGGAGCCCTATGTACATCTGGGAGTGCACAAACACCTGGGAAAACACACAGCAGCAGTCCCACCTGCTAAGATCAAAGCCGGACTGAAAAAAAGATGGAGATAAATCCCAGCAGGGGCAAGGGACCTTCTCCTTACAGCAGACGGAGGAAAGCCATGGCCTAAACCCCGTATTTAAAAATGCTGACTCCCATCTAGTGAAACTGGGGAGTGCTCAATAACCCCCAAACCATCAACTTCATCTTTAGGTCTTGGCTAAGCTCCTGTTTCAGAGATACCTCATGAAGTTATCACAAATTAATGAGGAAAATAGGTGTTTCCAACTTCTCTTGTCTTATTCTCCCTGAACTGGGAGGGTGAAGTCTGTGTTAGACAGTTACACAACTGCAGGGCTAAAGGGAAGCAAGAGGACATCCACTTCATCCCTCTGCCCCACAGAGGGAAAAAACTTCACCAAATCAGCCCCAGCAGAAGTTGATTTAAGTTGTTCCTAAACCCCTGTGTCAAAGAGCAGCATACCAAGGGTGCAGTCACTCCAGCTAACCATCAAGCAAGTCCTTGCCACTTCTAGGCTTTCCTAGCTTGAAATTGCAACCCTAAATCTGAATGCAAATTTAAATCTTCCTTACCAAAACTCAACGCCATGATTTTTTCTTGCATCTACAGCAGACACAGAGAAGTCATTCTCCTCCTCCATCATACAGATATGTGCATATTTGTAGACTTATCCCCTCTCTACAGAAATCTCTTCCCTGGTCTAAGTAGCCCCAGCCCTTCAATCTTTTCTTAGGGGTCATTTGTTTGCTTGGTCTGTTCTAGACTCTCTCTCCTGTTCCCAAGCATGTTGCCAAACCTGGACAAGGACACGTAGGTCTAAAATAGAGAGAAATAATTACCTCCCCTGCCTTATATATAAACCCTCCCACAACTACAGCTAAAGGCAGCAGGTGTGTTTTTACAACAGCCCCACATTGCTGCCTGTGAACCTTGATTTCCAGCATGCTGTGCCTCCCTCCCCAGTGGGCTCAGAGGCATTTGTGAACGTCACACACTCCGTGTTATCAGTGTGGAGGTGAAGAAACTGCAGAGTCAGGATTGCCCTCCCTGGACATGCCCTTTCAGGCTGACAAGGGTCTTGCAACAGGAATATTTCACCTGAAGTTGTGCAAAACCTTCTAGACTTTAGCTCTAGTCTGTATTTCCCTAGAAGTACATCCCCTGGGACAAACAATGAGCTTTTCTAAAGTCCAAACATGTTTCCCATTTCTACTGTGCAGCCTAGGAAACAACACACAACAACTAGCTTGGAAGGTGTCAGTGGTAGCAGGGCTCTCTGCTGAGCAGAGGAGCCTGAATAATGCCGGGCAAAACCAAACCTGAGAGCCCAGGACCAACACTGGGGCTGCCATTCAGAGGACCAGCAGGATTGCAGTGCCACAGATCACAGAATCACAGGATGGTTTGGGTTGGAAGACACCTCAAAGATTGTCTAGTTCCACGCCCCTGCTATGGCAGGGACACCTCCCACTAGATCAGGTTGCTCAAGGCTCCATCCAACCTGGCTCTGAACATTTCCAGGGATGGAGCATCCACAACCTCCTTGGGTAACCTGTTCCAGTGCCTCACCACCCTCACAGTAAAAAACTTCTTCCTTCTGTTTAATCTAAACCTCCCCTCCCTCAACTTCCACTCATTACTCCTTGTCCTGTCATTACAGTCCCTTGTAAAAAGTCCCTCCCCAGCTTTCTTGTAGGCACCCTTCAGGTACTGGAAGGCCACCGTGAGGTCTCCCCGGAGCCTTCTCTTTTCCAGGCTGAACAAGCCCAACTCTCTCAGCCTGTCCTCACTGGAGAGGTGTTCCAGCCCTCTGATCATCTTGGTAGCCCTCTTCTGGACTCGTTCTGACAGTTCTATATCCTTCTTGTATTGGGGGCTCCAGAGCTGGACACAATATTCCAGGTGGGGTCTCAGGAGGGCAGAGTAGAGGGGCAGAATCACCTCCCTCAACCTATTGGCCACACTTCTTTTGATGCAGCCCAGAATCTGGTTGGCTTTTTGGGCTGCAAGAGGACACTGTTGGCTCATGTTGATTTTATCATCCACCAACATGCCCAAGTCCTTCTTCCCAGGACTATTCTCAATCCACTCATTACCCAGCCTGTATCTGTGCTTGGGAATGCCCCGGCCCAGGTGCACTGCTTGCAGAGAATGCAGTGGTCTAAAAGGGTTCTGTATCTCAGGGGAAGTCACAGCTGTGAGGTTTGGATCTGCAGTGAGAGCCCCTGGTGCTTGTTCAGCCAGCGGCATGCCAGGGCTGTGCCCCTCCACTGCATGCCCTGAGTAAGGGCAAACTTGGGGTAGTTCTGACACCAAATGGACTTCATGGGCATTTGAGAAATCATGGGTCTATGGTTAGAGATGTCAGAGCAAAAAGCCCACACTTCCTAGGACAAGGACCCTGACAAAGGGAAGAAATTAGGTCAATCTGGCATGATCTGCTGTCAGGACACTCCCACTATTTGATCTTCCTATCAATCATGATGCCAGAGGTAGCAAACCCCTTGACATTCCCAGGTGCTTCACACATCCTAGAGCTGCAATTCATGTGCCACAGGCCCCTGAGAGCCAAGGGCAGATGGACGCTGTGGTGTAGGACCCACAGAGAGGAGAGAACAGCTCCATCACCCTGTTAAACCAGGGCTGGAGTGTGCACACGGAAGAGCTGAGGTGAGCAGATACCAGCTGCAGCTTTTATATCATCTAGCTGCCTCACAGAGCCAGCTACACACAGAAAAGCCCGGGGAGACACGGTACACGTCAGCCTTTTCTGTACCTGCACATCGTTCTCCAGCTGGATCTTCATGCTGTGATACTCCTCCTCATCCTGCACCAGCAGCTGATTCAGTTGTTTCTCAAACTCTTCCACCTTCCTCATACGGGCACGCAGGTATTCCAGCTACGGGCAAAAGGAGAACGTCATCCATCAGTGGTGACAGCTTCCTCCTGCGACCACAGCTCCTTTGGCTAGCTCAAAGTGAGGCCATGCAGGGATAATTTCCCTGTGGAGCAGGCTGAAAAACTGCTCCTCTGCCCCCCACTCTCCTGAGGAAACAGCTGCCTTCATGCACATGTGTCTTTCAAGGCAGCCCAGTGCTGGAGAACAACTGGTCCTGGCAGACTTGGCCCCTTACTACAAGAAAGACCTAGAAGAGCTGGAGCATGTCCAAAGAAGCAGCTGGTGAAAGGTCTGGAGCACAAATCTTGTGAGGAGCAGCTGAGGGAACTGGGGGGGTTTAGTCTGGAGAAGAGGAGGCTGAGGGGAGACCTCCTGGCCCTCTCCAGCTCCATTCCAGGAGGGTGCAGAGAGGGGAGGTGAGTCTCTTAAGCCAAGGAACCAGTGCCAGGACAAGAGGGAATGGCCTCAAGTTGCACCAGGGGAGGTTTAGACTGGATAGTAGGAAAAATTTCTTCCCTGAAAGGGTTGTCGAGTGTTGGAACAGGCTGCCCAGGGCAGGGGTGGGGAGTCCCCATCCCTGGAGGGGTTGAGCAGACGTGTAGACATGGCGCTTAGGGACAGGGTTTAGTGGTGGCCTTAGCAGCGTGAGGTTAACGGTTGGACTCGATGATCTTAAAAGTCTTTTGTAACCTAAATGATTCTGTGATTCTAGGATTCTAAACCTCCTATGGACCTTACCTCCCGTGCGTTGTAGGCCTGGATGGCTTCCTCCCACTTTTTCCTGTTGTTATCCAGCAGCTGTTGCCGTTCAAGCTCAAAAGTTTTCTGTGAAGTAGACAGAGCCTTTCACCATCATGTTGGCCCCACTCGTTGCCAAGCTCAGCCTAGTCCAGGCCAGCAGCCTCCAGGAAGGGACTGGCTGCAGACTGGTGCTGCTGTCCGAGGAACACACACATCTCTCCTCTCCATGCCAGGACCCCACTGGCAGAGGCACTGTGACCCCACGGGGCCTGCTGCTGTCAGCCACCCAGAACTGGGAGGGATGCTCTGGGTGATGGGTAGCTCTGTGAGTTCACTGGGAATTGTTTGATGGGAGTTTGATGAGACAGACACCCTATTTCACCTCAAAAAGACATTAAATGGGGAGGAAATGCTCTCACTCAGCAACAAACGCAGGTTTGATCCATGAGGTGAGACTTTGTGCTCTGCAGGAGGTAAGGCTACAGTCCTTCCTGCCTTTTAAAAACATTAATGATCAGCCATTGAGCAGCAACAGCTTTCACACACCACCGAGTCACCCTGTGCTGAACCACAGTCATTCAGAGCATGGTATAAACCAGCCCCTCACCACTCAGCACCACTCAGTGCTCTTGCTTGGCCAGATTTCAGCCTCATTCACCAAGACATCAGCCCTGCTGCTCTGGACAGTAGCAAACCCAGCCCGTGCGATGAGCCTGAGGCCTTTTTGCCATAGATACGGAGAAGCAAGTGGCCACAGGTTTTCTCATTGGACTCTTCCTCCACCATATGAACTGGGTACCTCAATCTGTAGGAGTTTGTGACGGTAAGTTTTCAGCATGAGCCTGATCTGTTCCTCCATTCTCTCCAAAAGCAGGTGGATATCATCTGACTGCTTCTTAATGGCCTGCATGTATTGCTCATCCTTGTTTTTCAGCTCCTGGAGAAGAAAAGCAAATGCTGAAATCAGAGAGAATATTTGACCAGGAATCCTCAGGAGGCTAACTGAGAGGTTTAGACCCAGACACTGCCTTTTCCAAAAAGAGCAGAGCCAGAAAGTCAAGAGGTAGTTAGGAGGGAAGATGGGAGGACAGAGATCATCACTGCTAAGGGTCCAGGTGAGATGGAATGGGAGGTGACACGCCTGCAGACACACTGCTCCTTCTCTAGGGGCCAGGGAACCTGCTGTGGGAAGGCTTTCATCCATCTACAAAACCACTCCCCTTCTCTGCTCATTTGCCTTTTCCTTAGGGTGCAGGCTGGGACTTGCCAGTTTGTCTTACTGCTACTGGTGTCCCGTGTGTCTGTCCTTGCACACTGCCCTGGCACCCGATCTCCTCGTCCCTGCTGGGACGCTGGCACTGCATCTCCTGGCCTGGTTTTGTCCCAGACCACCTGAGACTAAAAAAATGCCTGCCACTTTCTGGTGGATTAAAGATCCAGACAGAGAGATGGCTATCGTTTTAAAACAAAGCTGGAAACCCACTCATCCTTCCTGGTTGTCCCTGCCTGATCCCCACGCTACCTGCTGCAGTTCACAGATGAGCTTGTTCTTCTCCTCCAGAAGCAGTGCACACTGCTGCTGCTGTTGGTTCAGCAGCTGCCACAGCTCCTGCGGGATCCTCATCTCTGTGGCCAAGGCCCACTTGGAAGTGATCTCCTCAAACTTGTATGTGCTCGACTTGGCTTCATTCTCCAGCTTCTCCACCCTGCAGGCAGTAAGGAGCACACAGGGCAGGGCAGCAAACACTTCAGACGTGGTTCTGCGGCCTATGCTGCAGGACGACTTTCCTGCGTAACTCAGTTTGAATCCAAAGTGGCATCAAGATACCAGCGGAGCAGCAGCTTACTGGCAAGTGGTTGTCAGAGCATCACACAAGGGCAGAGCTGGCATCCTGCAGGCCCTGCTCTTCAGAGAGGGATTTCCCCAGCTCTGCCCTTGCCATTGCTTTAACAACCACTTATCTGGAGGGGAAAAGATTAAAGAGCTCAGCTCAAGCAGCAGCTGCCTTTGCAAGGAGCACTAGTCCTTCTGCCAAGGGAGCTGTCACTGGGCAAGAGCTGGTAGACAAGCAGTGCCAAACAGCCTCCAGCTACGTCTAAACTTGGGACTCAAAACTGTGCAGAGACAGTTAAAAGCCAAACAGCACTGAACAGCCCACGGCTGTATTACAAAACTCCTTCTTCCAGAGGCACCATCCAACGTGCTCTGGGGATGGCCCCGGGGGCAGGCTGAACAGCGGCCACTACCTTTGCTACCCCCAAACCTGCTCTATGGGCAGTTCCTGGCACACAGCACCTGGTTCCTTCATGAAATTCCCACTGGAAAACCATCAGAGCAAGGGACACCGGTCTTGCTGCAGCCAGCCTCCCATAGACTGTTCCTGCAGTGCCCTCCAAAGGCAGCAGGAGCAAGGACTCTGTTTGCTAGCTGGTCTGAGTCCTGGGAACAGGGCTGAAGGAAGGAGCCGGTCCCTTGGAGACTCCTCTAGTGAAGCAGGACAGGTTTTCCCCCAGGGAGGCACACAGAGTGGATCAGAGAACAACCGAGGCTGGAACAGGTTTGGGAAATCGCTGGCTCCCGGTCACAGCAGGATTAACTGCAACATCAGAGCAGGTCACACAGGGCCTTCTCCAGGCGTGTGCTGAGTATCTCCAGGGAGGAAGGTCTCTACAACACCCTGACCTAGCACCTGACCACGCTCACTGCAAAAACCTGAAGATCTCATCTCTCAAATGAGCACGGGCAGGAGGAGATCAGAAAGCAGACAGTGTGTAGTGCTGCAGTGGCACCTGGGGAAGCTGCCGGCCTTGACCTGCAGAGCTCTGTGAAGATCCCACGGGGGCACCTGTAGGAGATGACTTGTAACCCCCCGAAACAAGGACTGAGAGAAGCAGCCCGAGGGTAAACTTGGTAAAGACAAGGGATGGGGGGGGCAGGGGCCCTTCCAGCCTTTCCAAGAAATGTCTCCAACACTCCCAAGTAACAAAACTACAGTCACGGGGTGGATACTGTGGAGTCTGGATAACGCCGGCTTTGTGCTCGAGGTCAGCACTTGCTCATCTCTTGTGTGACTCGTGTGGGAGAAAACTCGCCTGGACAGCACAGGATGCGGCTGGAGGAGGGAGCCCTGAGGAGACAGGACGGTTCTGCTCTGGGGCATCCTGTAAAGTTTCAAGGGGCCTCTGTCCCATGAGCAATCTTTGCTTCATTATCCACAAAATGTGTATTAAAGTTGACATCCCTGAATATGCTAATAAAGACTACCGAGATTGTGCTAATTACAGCACCCCACGAAGCGCCTTGCCCCTCCCCACACGTATGACACGTGATATGTAGATCAATCTGGGGGAAGGACCCAAGGAAAGCGTGTATAAATGGAGGGGGGGCAAGGATAATGGTGATGAGCAAGTGAAGAAGTGAAGTGAAGAAGGTGGATGCATCCCTGAACCCTCCTTGGCAGAACCAGCGCAGGAACCTGCACTGGTGATCTCTCTCTCTCTTCCCATCTCTCTCTCTTCTTCTCTTTTCCCCCTTGTTATCATGAAGGGACGCAAGGCGTATCATATCGCTTGCCATAACTTGTTCTATACTTAGTCAGTTATTGTGTATCCAGTCAACGCACTGTGGGAAATGAATAAATGTTTCTGTCTGCACTTTGAGACTTGTCTCACCAATCTCCACTCCATTGGGGATTTATCAATCTACATCACTTGTCTCCCTCTTCTGAGCAGGACGTGACGCAGGTGGGACCTGGAGGTGCCTAGATTTTCCTTCTGAACAGCACAGCCCTAACTGCTAAGTGTTTCTGGATGACCAGCATTAGGATGTCCTCAGAAAGCTGCACCAACATCCTTCCCAGCAGCGCAGACCCGCGGTGCAGTCTCTTACCTCTGCAGCTTCAGCTCTGCCTCCTCTGCCCTCCTCTGCATTTCCCTCAAGTCAGCAGCCACCCGGATATTTGTCACCATCTGCGTGCCATCAAAGAGCAGCTTGGCCAGCCTCTGTGAAGGAAGTGGCACACATTTCACAGCCAAAGACCTGCGTTCTGGAGGGAGGGATGCTGCAGGAACCCTGCCTGCCCAGGGTCTGGCTCCTATCCCCATGCTGAGGTGCCTGTGCGGAGCCCGAAGTTCTGTCTTCCTGCTACGGCAGGATCGATGAGCACCCGCGGGCCTCCCGCTCCTGGAAAGCCCCGCAGGCCATCAGCGCCAAGAGGAACATGCTCAGAGCACCCCCGTCTCTCACTTCTCCCGTGTGTGCAGATGCGGTTAGGCACGGCGGGGTTTTGGTTTGGATGCTTGGCGTCAGTCCTACGCCCTTACAATCCACGGGAAATCCTATCCCTAGGATCCAGCCCCAAAATCCCTCCCCACCCAGTCCTGAGGAGTTCCTGTCCCTGCTGCTTCTCACATAAATGCTGCTGTGTGAACTAAGCACTGTACAAAGCTAAAAGAAGGGTAAAGCCAAATATCAGGGACCCAAGAGGATCTTCCCGTCCTACTGCCACACCTGCCTGCACTCCTCAATGTGCTTGTGGCTCTTCCTCTGCTCTTCCTCCTCAGGCACTTTTGGCTCCATATCTTCTCCAAGGGCCTCCCTGGGGCAGAAGAGGGAATAAGACTGAACATTTTACACCACATCATGCTCAGGGATGCCCTTGAATCCGGGATCCCAACCCAGACTGCATGGTTCAGCGCAGCACACTCTGCTCTCTCTTCCCCTCAGCAGGCTTAGTCCCAGGCCAGCAGGTCCCTGCAGATGCAGAAAGGAGGCAGGAAAGGTGGGGACAGCCGCCCCGAGGGAAAACAGCGTCCAGGCTTCTTTTTCTAGAACTGGGACTGCAGCCCAAGGCTAGTTACTGCTTCAGCACAAGGCTGGGGAGGCTCAGCCTCTGTTTGCTTTCCCGGTGAGGATGGGGCAGGCATGGGGCAGAGGCTGTCAGGGGGCAGCCCTTAGGTGGCTGTGGCGGACCCCGGCTTGGCCATTAAGACAGCCAGCTTCTGTCCGGAGCCATTTCAGCATTGGCCCAATATCCCCCAGGCTGGAGGGGCCTCTAAGGCTTGGGAGAGGACCCCACTTCAGTCCTGCTTTGGGGAAAGGTGTGTGCCATGGCTGGTGAGCCCCAGGCTTGGGAACATCAGCCTGCTCCAGGATGCCACTAGTCTGATGCAGATTTTGTCCAGGGAGGCAGCGGGTCCATGGCAGGGGAACCTCTTGGGGAAGGGGGTATTGCTGCCTCAGTGCTGTGCTTTGGACAGGGCGGGGATGTCCTTGCCTTTGAGAGGAGCAGACATTGGGAGGTCCCCGAACTCGTAATATCTGGCAGAGAATGGGGAGTGTCTCTGGTTTAGGATTCAGGGCAGTCCCAAGGGCAGTTTGGGGAGAGATCCCGGGTCCCGTGAAGGCTGGCAAGGCCACATTGGGTCGCTGCCCCCTGCCAGTTTTTGGTCGGGGTCCTGTCCCCAGTGCCGTTGTGGGACAGGGGATATTCTGACACCGGGAGTCGGTCTCTGAGCCTGCGCTGGCCCTGGCTGGGGTCAGGCCTGGCTGCCAGCTCGGGGCGCAGGATGTGGAGCTGGCCCTGGCCTGGCGGTGGGGGCATCAATCCCGGCACCGTTCTGGGGAGGGGAGATCATCTGGGACCGGAACCGGGCTGTGGGGAGAAGGTGAGGGACTTCGTGCCGGCCCGGGGCAGGGAGGGGCCTGCACCTGGCTCCGATCCGGGCGGGGGGGGCGGCTGGGGGTCAGGCCCACGCAGCCGGGGCACCGGGGACGAGCCCCGCTTCTCA